TGGAGAGACAGAGAGATGGAGAAACAGAAAGCAAGAAATCCCCCCCTAGACAGGATGGCCACACCACAATTCCTTCTCTTCCATTCTCCTCTCGGATTTTGGGCATGCATGCACATATGCCCACTATGACTTTCAAGCTGCCAGGTCCAGGACTTGAACTGTGGTTGACCATGTGGGAGTCCAGTGCCTTAACCACCATGCCACCTGCTGGCCCCCTATTAAGATTCTTAAATTTATAGTCATGTTGATTTCTTTGGTTTTATCCTGTTTAGGTTCTGTTGAATTTTGTGTTAAGAGAACAAATTTTAACAGTTTTCAGCTCCATGTTATTTTTCTTCTGGGTTGCCAGTGACTTAAATGTTAGATCATTTTAGTTTCTCAGACATCTGAGGCTCTGGACTTTTTTCCCCTCTAGTATCTGGTCTCTATTGTTTAGATTGGATATGTTTAACCTTTAATTTCTCTGATTGTTTTCTCTATCATCTGCAGTCTATGTTCTTTTCATCCAGTTTTTTTTATTATCAGTTACTATATTTCTCACTTCTAAAATTTCTATGTGGCATTTTCTTATGTCTTCTATTTCTTTTCTGAGACCTTCTGTTTTTTCATTTCTGCAAGCATTGTCGTAATTCCTCACTGAAGTATTTTTATTATGACTATTTTAAGATCAGTGTTGAGTGATTTAATCATCAATATCAGCTTGGTTTTGGCATCTGTTGTTTGTCTTTTCACATTCATACTAAGATTTTACTAGTTCTTGATGTAGCAGCTGATTTTCCATTGTCTCTTGGACCTTTTGGGAATTATGTCACAAGACTGCATCTCATCTCAAACAACCTTCTGTTTTTAGCAGTGCTCCTCTGATTCTTGTAGCAGAGGAAGCTGATTGTTCTTTATGCCATGGGGGCACAAGTCCAACTTTACCACTTGACTTTGTTTACTAGACAAGGTGTGTATCTTTGTGTTTAATTGGTCTCAGAGCTTGTTTAGCTTTTTGGATGTATATGTTAATGTTTTTCATGAAATTTGGGGAGTTTTCAGACTTTGTTTCTTCATGTGTTCTTTTGTGTCCTTTTCTCTCCTTTCCTCTCACCCACACCGTGCACTGGTGTTATTAGTGGTATCCACAGGTCTCTGAGGATCTATTCATTTTTCTTGGTGTATTATTTTCTTCCTAGTCTTCAGGCTATATAAATTATGTTTATCTGTCTTCAAATGCACTGATTCTTCCTAGTGCCATTCAAATCTGCTATTTAACCTGTCTTGTTACATTTTCATTTCTGTTATTGCACTTTATACTTTCTATTCTGTTACTCTTTTTTTTTAAGTGTTTCTATTGAATTAATCATTGTTACTGTACTTAATTTTAATTTTAATCATGGTTTCCTTTAATTCTTTAGATTTATAATTTGAAATCTTAATGAGTGCAGTCCAGCAGCTGAACCCTCTCAGAAATGAATTCTGGGGGACCAGCAGTTAGCGTAATGGCTACGTCACTGGACTCCCATGTGGTCGACCAGGTTCGAGTCCCAGACCCAGTGGCTTAAAACTCACACTGTGTGCGTGTGCGTGCATGCCTAAGATTCCGAGAGGAGAATGGAGGAGTAGGGACTGCGATGTGACCATACCCCCTAGGGGGTGATTTCTCGCTTTCTGTCCCCCCAGGGGGGATGGCCACGCCACAATCCCTTTTCCTCCATTCTCCTCTCTGGATCTTGGGCACGCATGCACACACGCCCAGTGTGAGTTTAAGCCACCGGGTCCGGGACTCAAACTGTGGTCCACTACATGGGAGTCCAGCAACATAGCCATTGCGCTAACTGCTGGTCCCATTATTGGTTTATTTTTAAAATCACTTCAAAGAACAAATTTTTGGCCTTGTTAATATTTACTATCATTTTCTGTTTTCAATTTCAATTATTTCTACTTTTCCTTTTTTCTAATTATTTTAGGTTTAATTTTCTCTTTTTATAACTTTTGTTGTTGGATTTTGCTATAGGGTGCATACATTTGTTGGAGAGAGCCAGAGACATAGAAAAGGAAAGTAAGAATCAGCCTCCAGGGGAGATGGCCACATCAGAATCCATTGTTATCCTCTTGAGATTCTGGATACACCCGCACATATACCTTTTGTGATTGTCAAGCTCCAGGTCCAGGACTTGAACCACAGAGTTGACCATGTGGGATACAGCTAACTTATCTTCCTCCACACCACCTGCTGACCCTATAGCTTTTTTTTAATTGCCAGAGGGCCTGTGTGTTCATGTGGATGGGGAGGGAAAGCGTCCCCTCACTGGGGCATGGTCATGCTGTCATCCTTTTTCTGTTTCCCTATACTGTCATGATTTTGGGTTTGTACACACATAAACCTGGAGTGTTTCTCAAGTTGCTAGGGCTAAGATTTGAACTGTGGTCGGTCATGTGGGATTTGTCTTGCTTAACCACTAGGCTACAGGGCCAGCCCTCTTTTTTACAACTTTTTGAGTTAGAGTTTAGATCGCTGATTTTAAAACTTTCTAAGAAATTTCACATATGTGCATTGAGAGCAATAACTCTCCCTTTAATGGATACTCTGTATCCCACTGTTTTGTATATTGTATTTTCACTTTTGTTCACTTCAGATAATTTACAGTTTTTCCTCTTGTTTTCCTTCAAGTTAAAAAAAAAATCTCTTAAACTTTGCTCCTTTCATAGTGCAATAGAGTGAGAGATGAGACAAAGAGACAACTGCACTCAATAGGGTCTTATTGCCACTATCCCCCTAAGCCTTCCCAGCCAGCCAGGATCATGGGCAGATACACTGAGCATGTACAGCTCAACTGGAAAACTGAACTTACGATTTTCCATTTTGAGCCAGCATCACTTGTACAATGCTTTACTGCTGTGCCACTGAGCTGGCCCTCTTTTTACTTTTTTTTTTTTTTTAATCGGTTTATTATTTAGATGTATGTTTAATTTCCAGAGGCTTTCCTAGTTTCTTCTGGCTGGTGATTTGTTTCATTTCTTTGAGGACAGAGGGTACATTGATTTCTACTCTTAAAATGTATTTAGACTCATTTTTTTTTTCATGAATGTCTGAATATAGCTGAAAAAATTGTATATTTAGCAATTTTGGATGCTTCTATGAATATCAGTAATACTAAATTGAGTAAATAGCATTCAAAATTTCTACATTCTTACCTTGTTGCTCTATCGGTCATTGAGAGAAACTTGTTGAAATCAACAACTGTGATTGGCTATTTCTTTTATTTTTGTCAATTTTTTTCCTTAACTTTGGAGTTGTGTTATTAGGTGCATATATATTTAGTCTTGTTAAGTCTTTTTTGTTGAATTGAGTTCATTTTTATAATACAGTACCCCTCTTTATCCCTGGTAACATTCCTTGTCTTAAAGTTTACTTTTGGCATGACATATCCTTTTCCCCATACTTTGCTTATAATGTAATTGTGTTTTTATATATTACAGTGTGTTTCTTGTAAATAAGGTATAACTGGACCTTTTTGTTTGTTTGTTTTGCCAATCTACCTTTTTATTAAAGGATTTTTAAAAATAATTATTTATTTTTTATTTTACTTATTAATTCATTTATTTTAATTTGACCAGAGAGACACACAAGAAGAAAATGAGAGAGAAAGTGAGAAAGCAAGCCACCAGGTCTGGGACTCAAACCATGGTCAGCCATGTGGGAGTGTCCAGCACCTTAACCACCACGCCACCTGCTGGTCCCCGCCAATCTACCTTTTAATTAGATTTTACATTTAGTATGAATACTAATATGATTGAGTTCTATATCGCAATATCTGTTTTCTGTTTGTTCCCTTTGATCTCTTTTACTTTGCTTTTTCTTTCCTACTTCCATTTTTTTTCCTCTTCTATTGGCTTTTTAGATATATTTCTTGGTGTTTTGAGTTATGCTGTCTAATATGGTAGCCATCAAACACATTAAAACTGAGTCAAGTTAAAAATTCAGTTCCTCAGTACCATTAGCTGCATTTCACATGCTTAGCAGCCACATGGCCCCCCTAGTGTATTTGACAGTACAGATATAAAACAGTTCCATTCCTGCAGAAGGTTCTATTTGATAGCTCTCTAGAGATTAAGATCAAGGTTTATTTTGAATCAAAATTACCCTTTCAAGACAGCATAGGATAAAGGGTATTCTAGTGAGAAGATGTTCATTTTTGCTCTGTATTTACTATTGATTATCTGTGTATCTCTAGTCCTCACTGCCCTGAGCCTGTTTTCTCTTCTTAAACAGGGAGACAGTAATCCCTGTTTTTTTCTACTTTATGGAGTGCTTGTAGAAAAGAAATCCAATTTACCCTTGAATAGTGTAGGGCTTATGGGTACTGACCCCCTACACAGTTGAGAATCCATGTATTGGGTTGTCAGAAAAGTCATGACATTTTTTCTAAGCAAAAATGCTTCATGACTTTTCTGGCAACCCAACATACCTACTTTTTAAAACAATTTATTAATTTTATTTATTATTATTTTTTAATTTGACAAAGAAAGAGAGAGGAAAAATGAAAAAGCAAGCTTCCAGGTCCAGGACTCAAACCATGGTTGGCCATGTGGGAGTCCAGCACCTTAACCACCATGCCACCTGCTGGACCCTCAATATAACTTTTGATTCCTTCAGAACTTAACCACTAACAGTCTGCTGTTGACCAGAAGCCTTACTGAGAACATAAACAGTCAACACACACATATTTTACAAGTCCAATGTATTTTATACTGTATTCTTATAATATAGTAAGCTAATAAAATATTATTAAGAAAAAAATACATTTACATTACTGTACTATATTTTCCAAAATATTTAGTGAAAAATCTGCATGTAATTGGACTTGCACAGTTCAAAGTTGTGTTGTTCAAAAATCAAAGTTATTTTAAAAAAAAGAGTTACTATAAAATGGTAATACACTTTATAAAAGTTGAAGCAGTTTTTCAAAGAAATTTTACAAATTGACCTGGTTGTGTTTTATTGGTTTGTTTAGATTGCTGACAGAACTGGAATCTCCTTCTTGGTGGCCCTTTAGCTCCAAGCCTTGGAAGTCACTGTCAGAAACAAAGCCCAAGGAAGGTACTTCAGTGACTAGTTCTGAACCTTTTGGAAGAGAAGGCATAGTGATCAAAATTCCCGCTATCATTTCTCAAAGAACAGAGTCTCATGTGAAGCCAGGAAGGCTCACTGTGTTTGTTTCTGGATTGGAAATCCATGACTCCAATTGTTTGCTCATGCACAGATTTGAAAAAGAAGATGTAGACGACATTAAAGTTCATTCACCTTATGAAATCAGCATACGCCAGCGGTTCATTGGGAAGCCAGATGTGGCATATCGTGTGATATCAGCCAAAATGCCAGAGGTTATTCCAATTTTAGAAGTACAGTTCAACAAAAAGATTGAGGTTTTAGAAGATGTCTCAATGCTCAGAAGTGCAAGAATATCTTCCCCCACAGAGAAAAGCTGCTCATTCTGGCATGCAGGTGAGTGACCAACAGGGCAGTGTGTGCATGGACTTCTAAAATTACAGCCAAACTCAGCATGCCCATGGCAAATATTTAACATGTTCATCACTTGGAGCAACTGCTGGTTTCCAGCTCACTGGTAACAGCCCATTTCTTATACATAAAAATAATTCCGGTTAGGACCAGCAGTTAGCATAATGGCTATGTCTCTGCACTCCCACATAGTCGACTGTTTTGAGTCCCGGACCTGGCAGCTTAAACTCACACCGGGTGCGTGTGCATGCGTGCCCAAGATCCCGAGAGGAGAAAGGAGGAAAAGGGATTGCGGTGTGGCCACCCCCCTGGGAGGAGTTTTCTCACTTTCTGTCTCTCTGTCTCTCTCTCTCTGGCGAGCGCACGCGCTGTATAGCAAAAACCTCTCAAAAAGTATATAATAATAATAATTCCAAACCTTTTTTCCTTCCTACTTGACATCTGTAAATTACTGTGGATTTCAAATAGGTCAGAAGGGGCTCTCATAGGGATCAGCAGATGGCATAATGGTTATGTGGCTGGACTCTCACATAGTTGATCACAGTTCAAGTCCTGGACCTGGCGGCTTAAAACTCATGCCAGGTGCTTGTGCATGTGTGCCCAAAACCCTGAGAGAAGAATGAGGAAGAAGGGATTGTGGTGTGACCATTCCCGTGGTGGGAGGCGGGGGGGTGGGGGGAGATTTCTCACTTTCTATCTCTCTGTCTCTCCAGAAAAAAAAAAAAATAACAAAGGGCTTTGGTAAATCTTTCAAAAGCTCTGAATATGCCTGTGAGCATTTCAGTTCACAGCTCCCTTTTTAAAATTTTTTTTTAAGTTTTTGCCTTAGGGCACATGCACTTGCCAGGGAGAGAGAGACAGAGACAATGAGAGAGCATTTCAGTTCACAGCTCCCTTTTTAAAATTTTTTTTTAAGTTTTTGCCTTAGGGCACATGCACTTGCCAGGGAGAGAGAGACAGAGACAATGAGAAGGGAAAGTGACAAATCACCCTCCAGGGGGGAAGGGGGAATGGCCATGCTGCAATCCTTTCTCCTCCATTCTCCTGCGATCTTGGGCATGCATGCACATGTGATTGGCATGATTTTCAGACCACCAAGGTCTGGGACTTGAACCATGGTCAGCCATGAGGGAGTTCAGCTACATAGTCTCTATGCCATCTGCTGGTCCCCACAGCTCCCTCTTGAGCATGGGATAACTTGACATTACCTGACTTTTAGTTTACCATTCTTATGAGTATCAAGTAGCATCCTGAAGTTATTTAACTTCCAGTTCTTTCATTGGTTGTGAGGTGGTACACTGATGTTTTTTTAGACCCACAGGTTTTACACTAGATTGCTTATTTTGGTTTTATTTCTGATGATTTTCCCACTGGGCTGTCTTTTGTTGTGGACTTAATGACAGTTCTCTCTATAATATAGATATTGATTTTAGAAGCTATAAATACTTATTCCAGATTATTATCCTTTTTTACAGAAACCTTTAATTTTGCTGTGATAAAATCCACTGTTTTGGGAACCAGCAGTTAGCGTAATGGCTCTGTCGCTGGACTCCCACGTAGTCGACCGCGGTTCGCGTCCCGGACCCGGTGGCTTAAAACTCACGCCGGGCATGTGTGCGTACGTGCCCAAGATCCCAAGAGGAGAATGGAGGAGAAGGGATTGCGGCGTGACCATACCCCCTGGGGGGGTGATTTCTCGCTTTCTGTCTCTATGTCTCTGTCTGTCCGGTGAGCGCACGCGCCCTATAGCGAAAACCTCTCAAAAAAAATCCATTGTTTTTTCCCTTAAGTTTGTTTATAAGCCCTGATTAAGAAATCTTCAAATCAGGACCAGCAAGTGGCATGATGGCTGACTGTGCTTCAAGTCCCAGACCTGGCAGCTTGATTTCTCGCTCCCTCTCCCTCTCATTCTGTCTCTCTCTGGTCAAATTTTAAAAAATGAATAAGTAAATAAAGTTAAGTGAAATAATTTTTAATTAAAAGAAAGAAATCTCCAAATCATAAAATACTCTGTCTTCTAATATTAGCATTATAGCTAATATGTGTGTATATGTTTATATAGAGTAGTGCCTATATGGAGATTGGTTCTAAGACCCAGCCCCCCCCCCCACCTCATAAATGCAAATATCCATAGATGGTCAAGTCTCTTATATAAAATGACATAGTATTTACATATAATCTATGTATACTACTTAATGCAATATAAATGCTATGTAAATAGTTGTCATAGTTTAATTTGCAGTTTGCATTATTTTTTACTGTAGAGATTAATTTTTTCTGAATATTTTCTGTGATTGGTTGATTCCACAGATGCAGAACTCACAATACAGAGGGCAGATTGTATGCTCGTAAATGTGTACATATATATTATATACATGTGTATTATATATACAGTGTGTGTGTATATATATATATATATGTATGTGTGTATGTATTAGGTTGTTGGAAAAGTCATGACATTTTTTCTATGCAAAAATACGTCATTTCCCAACAATCTAATAGTATGTATGTAAATATTATTCTTTCCTTATGAAATTTGATTGTTGGACATCTGTTAAAAGTAAGGATTTGTTATTATCCTGTTTCTTTTCTTTCTTTTCTTTTTTTTTTTTTTTTGGTTTTTTGTTTTTTATTGTTCTTTGTTTTGTTTTACTATAGGGCACTTGCGCTCACAAGAGGACTGGAGAAGTGAAAGTGAGCAATCACTCCCCAAGGGCAATGGCCACACAGCAGTCCCTTCTACATTCTTCTCAGGATTTTAAGCACACATGCACACACCTGATGTGATTTTCAAGCTGCTGGGTTTGGGACTCAACCTGCGTAGTCAGTCATATGGGACCCAGCCACCTTAATTTCTACATCACCTGCTGGTCTCTGGTTTCTTTTCTTTTTTCTCTAAAGTGATGTCAGTTCCAGTTAACTGATCAATAGCCACATGAATATTTTGATTATTATTCTAGATGATGACAAGTTTTAAAGAGGGTCATATGCGGTAATAGACCTGGTCCCATAAATACCAAATAATTGGAAATATTTATTTTAAAACTTAATTTCAAAAACTTGCTTCTTTGGCATTTCCAAATTTTTCTTTGGCTCCCAAGGCAGGACTCAGAAGCTGACCTATAAAAAAGTCAAAAAGGGTGGGCTGTGCCAGCCAGTTTATGCCCTTGACCAGATGGACTTTTCCTACACTATCCTTGAGGAAAGGGCTATCGGCTGAGCCTAGCCTGGGTCCCACATCATCCGAGTGGCCTGCACTGCTGAGCTCCTCCAGGGAGGAGGTGTGAGAACTGAAGGGACAGATACAGCGTTTCATAGTCATTTGATCTAATAGTGCCGAGAGTCCCCAGTGTTGCATAACCCCCTTATGACAAAATAGGCCTACAGTCCTTCTGTCGAGCTTGTGTTTTATCACTAGATACCTACCAAGATCATGGTTTAGGGTTCAAGAAAGGGTTTCAGAGGGAGACAAGGACATAAATGTAACAGACGTCAGGGTTTGACATAACATAAAACATCTAATCTTTCAGTATGTGGAAATCAAAGGTTGCCATGCCTGCTGTCACAGAGAAGACAAGGTTGGAAAAAGCAGGAAGTGTAGGTCTTCCTTAGCAGGGTGAGGTAGAAGAGGTGTGTGACTTTAGGGAGGAGGGCATGTGACATCAGGGGAGTTGGTGATTGTCCCTGTGGTGTAAGGTGAATGGAAAGGCGACAGGCATGTGTGACTTCAGGGCTGGGTGTGTGATGTTCTGGGGGGAATACTCACTAGCCTACTGCCATCCTTTTTTGTGAGGATGTGGGTGTACTTGTCCGTTGGTGGGCTTGGGTGGCACAGCACAGGAGCAGTACTTGTGCAGGAAGCCAGCATGATGCTGTTTTAGCAGACCAGATGGATCTAATTTTCTGGAAACAGTGTTCATGGACAAACTCAGTTATGAGCACTGGCTTCTTACTGTCACTTTCCTGTTGTTGTTATTGTACTTGACAGCATGATACTTGTTTGCCAGTTTCCCTGCTTTTACTGCAGTTGGAAACTGCAGACACAGTGGAGATGGAAATCCTGATTTGGCGTCTTGGAAATTCATGCCCCTCCTGGTCGCTCAAGCGTATGGTATACAGGCGGCCACAGGGTGGCAGTCATGTACCATTGAATGGGCACTTTCTGGCTTCGGTTTCTGCAAGTTCCTGTTGGTTACACCCTGTAGACATGAAAGTTTCCAGAGATTTCTACTGTGATATTTAATGCAGACGGCGAGGGGTGGTAGTTGCACAGTCTCCGGGAACCTCGGGTGGTCCTGCCTGGCACACACGAAGTGTGTGAATTCACAGTTGTGAATTGCTGTTTTCCTGTGTAGCTTTTTAAATTTTTATTTTTATTTTTACTTTTTGTCAAGAGAGTATGTGCACATGCCAGAAAGTGGTTGAGAGAGAAGGCACTCCTAGTGGGGCCTGGTCACACTACAATCTTTTTTCCTTCATTCTGTCAGGATCCTGGGAATGCACACACATGCCTATGTATACACACACACATACATACATACACACACATATATCTATATATATTTCTCTTTTAAGAGAATTATTCCATTTAACTTTATTTATTTATTTACTTATTTTAATTTGACCAGAGAGGGACAGAACGAGAGAGAGAGAGAGAGAAAATAAAAAAGCAAGCCGCCAGGTCTGGGACTCAAACAGCGGTCAGTCATGTGGGAGTCCAGCATCCTTAACCACCATGCCACCTGCCAACCCCATGCCTGCTATATTTTTTTGAGTTGCCATGGCCAGGATTTGAACTGTGGTTAGCCATGGAACCAACTTGAACCAGGAACCTTCGCGTGTGGAATTGTCTCACAGAGTGTCTTATTTTATTGCTGTACTGTTGTCTGAACCCTAGACTCTCTTACTTTTACCTGATATCTTTCTAAGATCCACTCAGGATTCCGCATAACTTGTCTTCATGTCTCTAGAGATGCCCCTTGTCT